CATTCCAGGAGAGTCCGATTACGACTCAGCCTGGTATGCGACGGTTCTTACCGCATGCGCATTGTCGACCGACATTGCCCGACTTCCGGCTGGAGAGCATACAACAGTGGGTAATAAAGGCATGTCGCTGAATGGCGGTCAGAAACAACATCTTGCCCTCGCAAGAGCACTCTATTCGCGAATCTCTGTATTAGTGCTAGACGACATCTTCAGTGGGCTAGACATTAGCTCCCTCAAGCATATTGCTGGTTCTGTCTTTGGCCCATCCGGCATAGCCAGGCGCCATGGTCTTACAGTTCTCATGACTACTCATTACAGCAGTTATGTTATCCGACACGCTGATCGGATATTCATCTTGGGATGCAATGGCAATAGAGTTGAGGAGGGGTCGTTCAAAAAGCTGATCAGCAATCGAAACAGCTTTCTCCACACTATCGAGCTTCGTGAGGAGAGGAAAACAAGCAATCAACTCGAGGAGCCAAGCAACCCTGTCGAAACTTTAACAAATCCTGTTGGTGAATTAGAGCATGCTCTAGAATCTGCCTCTGCACTTCGAACTGGAGACTTATCGACCTATAAATACTGGTTCAGATCATTTGGGTTGAAACTTTCCCTTGTTTTTCTAGCCGCAACACTGTTGTCAGGTTTTTTCTGGAAATTCATGGAGATCTGGGTTCGCTGGTGGTCCGTTGCAGAAGCATCACCGTCTGAATCTTCGCAACACTCTCTAGGGTCTTGGATTGCTTGCCATGTCATGTTTACGTTACTCGCTTTGCTATTTGATTTTGCCAAATTTTGGACAATCCTCGTATGGGCTGTACCGCACTCGTCAGCACAGCTCCACCAACAGATTTTGAAAAGCGTAATGAACGCTCCATACTGGTTCTTCATCAAGACAAACTTGGGGTCCATAGTAAACTGTTTCTCGAATGACATGACGTTAATTGAGAACGCCAGTGCCGGTCCTATTCTGCAGGCCTCACAGAGCGCCACAATACTCTTGGGTACTGCGGCATTGATACTTGCTGGATTGAATTACGCCAGTGCCACTCTACCAGTTTTGTTCGTGGCGGTCTGTCTATTACAGCGATTTTATCTTCGTACGTCGCGCCAGCTTCGTTACATGGACCTCGAAACCCAGGCCCCCTTGCTTGACGCAATCCAAGAAACGATGTATGGCCTTTCGACTGTTCGCGCCTTTGGGTGGCAATCTGCTTTCCATCGTAAGTTTCTCGACCTGTTGGACCGTTCTCAGCGTCCGTACTACCTTCTGCTGTGTTTACAAAGATGGTTGAGCCTCATGCTGGACCTTCTGACAGCTATGATCGCCACCGTCATTATGTCCCTAGCTGTCAGCATGTCGTCCAGATCATCCGCGGGCTCCTTGGGATTAGCTCTGCTCAATATTTTGGGATTCAGCGGTCAACTCTCTATTTTCGTTGTCGCATGGACAACGATTGAGACGTCTGCCAGCGCTGTTTCCCGCTGTCGGGAGTTTGAACAAACCACTCCAGACGAGCAATCACCCCTGGAACCCGCAAAGCCAAATAAAAGCTGACCCATAGAAGGGAAAATTGTCATTCAAGACTTGCGCGCTGCCTATAATCCTGAGGGTCCAGATATTCTGAATGGAATCAACCTTCGTATTGCACCGGGTACCAAGGTTGGTATTTGCGGTAGGTCTGGGAGCGAGAAATCATCTCTTCTGCTTTCGCTATTTTGCATGCTGGAGAATGTTCCCGGAGATAGTATGTTTATCGACGACATTAATATTACTACTCTCCCTCGAAGCATACTCCGGGAACGCCTGACGGCGATTCCTCAAGAAACACTTATTATACCTGGCTCCGTGCAGGAGAATATGGATTGTCGCAGGCCAAGCGCTGTCGTGAACCTAAACTGTGTTACTAATCGTGTCGCTCAAAGACCTAGATACAAGCTGAGCTATGATGCTGAACAATACAAGACAATACACACTCTTCTTAAAATCCTATATCTGCAACCCCCGCACCCAACCGTGCGACATGGATTGTAAGCCTAGGACCACATCACATGACTGCTCTGCAGACATGACTAATACGTCCGACTACTTTCGAGCTCAGATCACACACTTGTTGTCGCACGGTTGGGTGCGGGGGTTGCAGGTATAGGATTTTAAGAAGAGTGTGTATTGTCTTGTATTGTTCAGCACCATAGCTCAGCTTATATCTAGATCCGGGAGCGACACGATTAGTAACACAGTTTAGGTTCACGACAGCGCTTGGCCTGCGACACTTGTACATACACACAAGAATACACTCATACATGAGACTATATACTACTACCACGCCTTGCTTACATGGATCCTTTGCAAGAGAGAAACGTCAGTAATATTGAGCGCTGGTGGAGCGCAGGTGGAGATAATGTGTGAGGTGGAGAAGGTGGTTCGTAGTATTAACTATGGGCACCTACTGAGACGCGATATATGCGATCAACCAAACCGTGCGCCACATGCGCACCTGCGCTAGTCCTCAATAGAAACTAGGCAAGACGAGCTGACCAATGAGAGGGCTTATCCCTCGGACAGATATTGAGTCAGCATTGGAGAAAGTCGGTCTTGCTTCTCTAGTAGCTGATCGAGGTGGTATTAGTACTAACATGGCCGACATTGGTCTGTCTCAAGGCGAATTGCAGCTATTTGCTGTCGCTAGGGCCCTCTTACGCGCGAGCAAAATCCTAGTAGTAGATAAGATGACCTCTTCTATGGATTCGCTCTTGGAGAAGATCATTCTGGATATTGTGCGAACCGAATTCAAAGGCAGCACGATCTTAGCGGTTGCGCATCGACTCGCTACTATCATCGACTTTGAAATGATTATGGTTTTAGATGCTGGACGACTGGTTGAATCTGGGCACCCGCGTGAACTCCTTCAGAAATGCGACGGGCAGTTCAGGAAGATGTGGGACCAGCAGGAGTCGCAAGGCTAGTAAGTACCACCAGTTTCGCCGGATTCCGAAACCACATTAGGTACCACACTATGGTCGACTATATCTACCGGTAGGGTATACCAGCATTTAGTTACTACCTGGGTGAATGAATCTTAGTAGTAGTCAACAGTACGCCGTGTGGCGGCCGAGACAGTCAACTTTTGCGTCCTCAAAAGCGAACTGTCTCAAAACAGGCGACAATTTCCAGCGTGCTAAGAGCAGCGGATTCTCTACCAAGGTCCGGCGCAGCATTTCCCCCCCTCTCCTCTGTATTAGACCATTCGCTCTACCACACGCATACATAAGGCAGCATAATTTCCAAGGCCTCCCTAACCCACCTCTCTGCTCTTTTCCCGCCAATCCTCCCCCTTTCGCACTATGCGCCCCTCCAGCTCTCCCAAGAAATGCTCCCTCTCTTGCATGTTCTTTACCAGCGCAGCCTGCATAACTGATCGCAGGCACAAGGTGGAATAGGTGACTGTAGTGGATGTATATGCTACTAGGCAGCTACGGAGACGATATGAGGGACGATATGTGGGTGCCAAGGCGAGCTGGAACCAATAGGAGAGGGGTATACCCCGTACAATAACCGCTAGTAAGATATGCGACCGGATCGAACAGTCCAACTCATCCATCTTGATTGCTCCAGCTCCTAGTCCAGCTGTCTCCTCCATCGCAATAGTGGCTAGGAACTCGACCTCCTCCTCACTCCCAATTTCTTCCTGCCACCCCCTCTGTAACGCTTGAAATGCAGTCCCTCCATCCGGTATCCCACACCAGAAAAGCACTGGCTTGCTAGGTTGTGGTTCGACAACCTTACCCGGAGAAACCTGTGCTAGGTACTGTGCTTCCAAACTGTGTATATCATACGATCCCGACGCGACATTGAGCCCAAAGTGATTGGGACCTTATGCCTCGCGGTTGTCCTCGCGAGGTGATAGGTCAGATGTAGGGCTTGGAGATGGAGGGATCTTCTTCTCCTCTCCTTCAAGCTGGGTGTTGGCGTTCGTGGGCAATGCTTCTTGTTTCGATTCTGCGATAGGAGGTTCGTAATACTCGCCTAGCCAGAAGCACGCATGCGATTCCGAAAAGGGTGGTGCGATAGGGCAGGCCGCGTGTAGACGTGTCAAGACTGCACCAAGCGTGCGGAGGGCTATTTCAGTAATCGTGTCGAATGAGAGGAACGGTTGCCTGTGACGGGTCCGCCCAACAGTACAAGCCCAGCGGGGGAGCTTTAGGACGAGTTCGGATACCGGATTATCGCGCAGCAGGCACAGCAGGGAGGACGAGTCCGGGAGGTCCTGGAGGTCGGGCATGCGGTAGAAGCATGCTGTGGTGGGTTGGGTAAGGAATGTGGTGGAGTAGTAGGAGCGCCAGGCTGTGGGGTGCAGGGGGTCATGGTGCGCAGTGTAGAAGGCGTTGAAGTCTGAGAAGATGAGGGGGTTGTCCCCATTTAGTTGGGAGGTCCAGCGGTAGTAGGCTGCTGCGATCTGGGCGAGATAAATTATATCCAAAGTACTGTTTTGTTTTAATCACACACATGTAGTACTAGATACATCGGTATTAGGGATTCTAATTAGGGATTCTAATATGGGAATGTAGCTTACCGATTGAAGCGGAGCTCGTCCTTACCAAAAAACCAGCCATGTGCGTGCAGCTTCTCTACAACATCGAATACGCCCTGGCCGTCCCACAGCACCTCATTGATATAAATGCAAGCGATCCGCAAGACATCATCGTAACATGTCACTGGCACGATTCCGCCTTCCACATTAGCCAGAAATTCGCCAAATCCATCGTCCATTGTATAGTGCTTATTGTACACAGAATGTAATTGCTGGAGTTATGTTTTGAAATTTGCCTCCAGGGCTGGGAATGTAACAATACTGAGTGATAAGCAAAGTAGGCGATCGTGCGGTCTGTTTACAAGATACCGACAAGGCAAAAACTACGGACCCTTCCCCCCACACTGAGCGCAACGCCGCAACCCCACTTCTCTACCATCTCCCAAGCTACTCAAACAGCAGTAAAAATGCATCGGCCGGGAATCGAACCCGGGGCTAGCCGATACGGATCCAGTTGATGGACTGGCAACGGCTAATTTTACCACTAAACCACCGATGCGATTCACGGTTCTGATAGTTGAGAACTTATTTCCTTGATGAAATACTTCCAGAATTTGAAAAATATAATCACAGTACCTAACTTTTATCACTTGCAGCATCATCTCCACCGCTTTCTGGTATCCAATCTTGGTTTCTGAAATAACGCTCTTTCGTCGTAATTTTCGCGTTCAGGATGTAAATTTTCAAAGCTAAGCTTACGATTTGTGGCTTGGCACAGCAGAGAACGATCGCCGAAACCGACTTTTGAAAACCCACAATTGAGATCCCGACAACACGATGCCAGCATGTGAACAACAACAAGCCTGCGTCTTATTCAATGTTGAACAAGCGGTCATCCGTCAGCCATGCACAGATGTACAGCAGGGACAGGGGAACATGGCTCCATCCATCACTTCCTGTCTGTGGTGCACATGTCTCGTGCGTCTTTCAATGCCAGCTCTAGGGCCCTGCACTCAGCTCTACACACGCATCGTTTGCTCCTTTCCTCTTCGCCGTGAGAACCTGGCGCTAGCGCAACGCTTTCATTATGGATTCTGATCTTGATGATCTTGAGGCTATCATGGCCTTGGCCGCCGGCGGAGGCCCACCAGAAGCTATCCAATGTGGCATCAGACCCTACGAAAGAGATGGAGTTGAGCGACTGCTCAAGCTCTGGAAGAAGTATGGATCGTTCTAGACATTTCGCAAACAGCAACTAACGTGTTCAGGTTCGCTGGTAAGATTCTCAAATCTCCAGACCGAGAGATACAACAAGTGAAGCCCCTTGAAAAAGATGTGCCCTTGCACATGATCAAATCATACCTATGGTGGAGAGTAAAGTACGGCAAAGGCAGAATCGAGGGGAAAGCAATCACAGTTCAAACGCTCAGAAAGGAGTTCCAGCAGATTGCGAGGCAGATTGCCAGACAGACGGACAAGATTTGGTCTGCAAAAGAGTTAGCAGATATCAGAGAGGTAACATCTTGAAGGGACAAAGTTCAGAGGCGACAGTAACTGATCATTTATCCAGTTCATCAAGACCACACTGAGATCTAAAGGTGCCTCAACAGCTTCGAGGACCCGAGCGATAGCATACGCTCCTGATGCAGATGAGATACTGTTTCATCTCTGGAACTGCAGCGAAAGGACCTACATCTCACCGCGTATGATGGTACAGTTCTCGTTCTGGCTTCAAGTCACTTGCATCTGGGGTCTTCGAACAGGGGAGTTTCTTGAGTCGTCGACTCATCGCGGCTCCAACGAAGGCGTGCACTATGGCGATATCACCTTCAGCCTTGTTCGGAAGAGGAATGAGCTTACATACGAGGTCAAGATTGAACTTCGGAATCGCAAATTTAACAGAAATGATGCGAGCAAGATGTAGGCCTGGTCAGGACGCTGTTAGTTCAGGCTAATCATCTTTAGAAAAACGATCACCTTGAAAGAGGAGATGGACCCCAAAGAGCGCTTCAGGTGCCCTGTGCGAAAGTTCCTGGCACTTGCACTGGCCGACGATATATTCGTGGACGATGTGTCGCCAGAAAGTCTCGACAATCGCTGGATCCCACCTACAGCCGGCTCAAGGGTGTTCGCGATCAAAGCAGAGAAGAAAGACGTACCAATCATCCGTAAGATGATGCCTAGCGGTGAAGCTCATCCGCAGGAGATCTGGAGTGCCATGTCGGTCAATACAGTGCTGGGGCAAGTTTGCCTGGATGCCGGATACACTGAGCCTGTCACAACGTATTCTTTCAGGCGAGGTGTTGCCAACAACATGGAAGGTGAGAAGATGCAGTCATATCATTGATCAGAGTCTGACGCGTTCCACTCAGCTACGGCGAGCTCCAAAAGTACTAAAGAAGCCCTTGGCCACAAAGGCGACCGCGTTTGGCATGCTTATGCGGCACCTGTCATGAGTGTCGATGGCCAGAACATAGCCTATGGTAAGCCAGAAGATGCTTCGCATGCACGATTCACCCAAAGTATCGCTGTTACTCGTGACTTTGGTGCTCCAAAGCCGTCTGGGACGCAACTAGGCATGACTGGCGTCATCTTTGAAGACGTCATGACCAAAGCCAAGTCCGACAAAAGGCCACTCACGGATAGAGCCACCAACCGCAAAGCACTTAGAATGCAGCATAGGATTGAGCGTAACGAATATACCACAAGGGTCAGAAGCACGACGTTACCTTCCGAGAGCGAACCGAACTCCGATGCCCACCGCGGCAATCCAGAGTCTGCACCATCTTTCCCGCGCCCGGAGTCTTCGGCAGTCTTCAAGCAGATGCTAAAGTACAACCCTCTCCAAGCACAGGCCATAGAAACTCTATGGACTGCAGACAATGCTTCTCTTGGAGAATGCGTCAAGCCTCTGATGGCTCTTGCAAGCCCACAAGCATTTCGGCCTCTCTACCCAGACCCTGTCTTGCCACCGCAAAAGAACGGCAGCTGCCCTTATTGCCATACGGATATTTCCAATCGAAAAGTCTGGGGTCACGGCCATCGCGCAATGCATTTGCTAGAATGTCATGAGAACGAACACAGCGTAACCTTCTGCCTGCAATGCGCCATGTTCGTTGACAATCGTCTGTTCAAGGGTCACATGTGTCTGGACCTTGACCTCGAGCGCAGCGGCATTTATGGTGTGATAATGTGGCGGAAATTGGTGATTGCTGAAGGTCGCTGTCCGTATGGAGTCAGTCGAGTTTGTAAAAGGAGACGATTCAGAGACCCTCAAAGACTCAAGAGCCACATTGAGGGTGTGCACATCAGAAAACAGTCGGAAGGGGATCAAAAGTGTCCAGCCGAGGGTTGTGATATAGTAGCCCCGTCAAAGGAAGGCCTACGGGTTCATCTTCAGGGGACGCACTACGTTCGAATGTGGAACTCGACAACAACCATTTCATCGCAGTTAGCTTAGTCAGACGAGGTTTGAAGATCGAATAATGCGCTGTTACTATTCGCAACGAGATTTCATAACATGCTGCAGCTGCACTTTCCGCTCTCAGTGGTCGCGTTCATGATAGTCCGTTTGCTGTCGCTCCTGAAAATCATCGTAATCCTAGTGATCGGTATTCTTGCATTCACAAAGACTGAACCCTCTGCTCTTGTATATATATATATATCTTCCATAGTGATGCTGTACATACAAGCAGAAAGGGAGGCACATCACCGTACTATATTGCCTCTCGCATGTGTTCTAATATGCCAATGGTATCGATGGTTCAGCAATGTTGCTATGGCACCACCATAGCCTTGTAGTTCTACTCGAATTGGGCGACCTTGCTCCGTGTCGGTGCTCCAGATTTCCCCCTTGCTGTCTTTGTAGAAGCATAAGAAGATTAGGAAAACAAGGGCTTGACCTTGTCTGCATGAAGATGGAAGAATGCCATCGGACAGCATTGAGCAGCAATAGCATTCCAGAGCGTGTGTCTCAAAGAGATTCAGATAGAGGCTTTCAAGACGTGTTGGGCGTCGAGAGTACGATTGGATTGCGGGTCTGGCGAAGCGTGCACGCATCATTTCGTAGACTAGGGTGTTTATAGTACCTGAAGTTTGTATACCACTGCAGTCTTCTATATAATAATATTTTACCTAATCAGCCTAAGGTGCGATCTTTTTTCGGATTATGAGATTGTGTATCGGAATCAGACATTGAGAAGCTTATGAAGTATCCAAATTAGAGTTTTCAGAAGTGATGAAGAAGATAAAGCACATATAGCATATTTGCAGTTGTTCTTAAAGCTAGCAGTAACTAAGAATACACATAAAGCAAAATGCTCAACGTAGCTATGCGACGCATTGAACCTCTCTGGCTGATTAAATATTTGCGGATGCGTCACCAATGACAAGGTGGAGACACCAGGATAAGAGGAACTTCTATGCTCCAAACATCCGCGCAGGAAAGAGGAAGACGTGATTAATTATGCTAGTGCATCACCAACGTTACTCTCGAGTCGTCCTAGAAGAGGCTTCGGCCTGGGAAGTAAAGCCACGATAATTGACAAAGCTTTCTCGAGCATACTAAGAATATCTAGACAGAACGAACATCAGAGCTTCCCTAATTGTGTAGTCAAAACAGTCACACTTGCAGACAAGATTTTCTTGACCAGTGCCCTCTTTGAGGCAGATAAACCGCACAACGCCAGTAAATATAGGCAAGGATCCCGATGAAAGGATCCCGAGCACTGACAGGGTAATTTCAAGAATTTCGCTATAGAATAGGAGTGCAGAAATGGCATAGACAACAAGGTAGCATGTCAGCCCTAGCGAGAAATGGAGTATGTAAGGCTATAGAGCATAGAACGCTGAACATGACCCATCTTCCGGGGACCACTGCACTGAGACGTCCTTTCCGCAGAAGGAAGTGTCATCTAACAGACTTGTTAGGTAGCATGCAACCACAAAGGCAGTCGCGTCTCGGAGCACTCTTCGCATCCAGCTGTGAGAGCTAGGATCGAAGCACGACGAGTAGAACGCTAACATGCTCAACTTAGCGATGCTTAAACCGAAGTTGTAGAAGTAATTAGAGGCGAGTAATATCTGCTGGGATATAAGCATATAGTTAAACTTCGATGCGCGGGATGAACCACCCAGCAGAGGAAAGTCAAACCTTGGAGAGTCTTTTGGTGCTCTTGTAACTATCCATGGCGCCCATATTAAAGGTGAGTGTGTCACATGTGGCGAGGCCTAGAGCATCGGGCGCAGCCACAATCAAACGGATCTCTGACTATTGTAGTTTCCCGCGGACACGCCCAACACGTGCGTAGACACGCATGGAAACGAACGCGAACGCTACGATAAGAAGGATCCATACCGAAATCTGTCAGTTAGTAACAGTGCTGTAGTCCCGTCTGATAGTGCGATACATCATCGACTTACCATGCAATCTTTACCATTGACGAAGTACGCCATCGTAGAGACGTGAAGGACCAGTCCAGGAGTAGAGGAATCAGAGTTTGCGGCTGCATTTGCAGCGCATACTGTACCCGGTTATGGCTAGATCAGCATGTATCCTTT